GAAGAGTTTCATCAAATACTCTTCCTAAGTATGACATTTCCATCAAAGAATCGTAAGTTACTTTCCCCTCCGTGTTTTTCAACATTTCATCGATTTCAGTTATAACCTTATTTTGTGCGTCAGGGTTTACAGTTAATTCGTATAGTAGAAAAGCTGCAGTGGTACCACTTGTTTCGTAACCCGCTATAAAAAACAAAAATGCTTGTGCAGCGATCAAATTGTCAGTAATAGTCAAACTTCTTGTTTTATTGTCTCTGCTGGTTTTGCTAATTTCGCCTTCTTTTCTCATAGCTAAAATAATATCCACGAAATCGTTCCTCCCAGCGGGCTCCCCATTTCGTTGTTTAACTACTGCCTTAACTAAATTATGGAAAAACGTAGACACTTTTCGAGGGAACAATGCAGTTTCTAGTATTTTAAGAATGCCAGGAAAAACCATATCCAGTTCGAATGCAAAATTCGTTTCAAAAATGAGTTTGTCCATTTCATCGAGTATTTTAAAAATGTTGTCTTTTATATCAATGTCCATACCAAAGGCAGTAGCTACAATAGTGGAAATTGTGTAGTTGCGTGTGAGCTTTAAAATTTTTATTTCTTGTGTTTCACTGTACTCTTGCTCAATACGATGAATATGTTTATCGGCGAGTTCAGATATTAGGTAAGACATGTTTTTGATCTTTCCGGTAGAAAATAGAGGACTGAAGGAGCGTTGAAGGAGTTTCCAAGAATCACCACTAGCGTGGAACATATTGACTCCAAGTCCGTCTTTGCTGAATTCGACACCACGATCGATGAATAAGTCGAAGTCCTTAATCATTATTGCCTTTACAATATCAAGATCTCGAACAAGCATGGTTGTTGTCGTCATTCTGTAAAATCCAACTATCTTTTCATTCGGGAATTGTGCGTAGATTTCTTTGATCTCCTCTCCAATGTATTTCTGTCGGAATGCTGATTGTACGATATTACCAAAAAGAGGTAATGGTTTTGGGCCGGCAACATTTTTCTTTTTCCAATAGTTGAAATTCCATGTGGAAAATAAGTACAAGACGCAAATAAGTCCTAATACCACAAACGGTAAAAACAAACACATATTATTATTACTCGGAAGTATATTTCTGTACTGATTACTGATTTCCTTTCGACTGCTAAGAGACTCACGTTATATTGAAGTATACCTAAAAATTTGATTGCATATATTGCAAAGATCATTCATTCTATGATAAGAAACAGCTTTGACAAACGTTTTGTATACCCGTATAAAATATGCGCGCTCAATTGGCGTTTCACTTCATAGTTTTACAGATTAAAATCCGGAGAATATCGAAGATTCAGCATTTTATAACCTATTTAATGGCTGTGGGTTCAGAAATTACTCACAAGTAGGTGGATAATATTTCGATAACACCGGGTAGAAATATTTATTATAAAAAAATTTTTAAGTAGTAATTTCGGTATCGATTGCATTACAATAAACCATACCTTATCAAATAAAAAATATCTACGTGAGGCGCACTACAAGTTTTCGGAATGAATAAAAAAAACTATAAATGGTCAGAAATGAATTTACTGTTTCTCAAAATATTTTCTGTTAGCGTTAATGCACTTTTTCATACGAATGAACCAATTTTGAAAACATTTTTGCCACTCCTCCGTGACAATCTCTGAAACATATTTTTCAGACTCTTCGACAGCCTCTTCAGTTGGTGAAAATCGTTGACCGCGTAACTGGTTCTTAATTTTTGAAAACAAATAAAACTCACAAGATGCCAGGTCGGGACTGTACGCGGGATGGCTCATAAGGTCAACGTTGTTTACCTTCGAAAATTCATTTGTCTGTCTGGCCGTGTGAGAACTGGCATTATCGTGGTGCAATATGACACGACGTTTATGGTTATTTTTACGGAGTTTGTCAATAACTTCGGGCAAACAAATGGTTGTATACCAATCACGTTCCAGTCAATGTTCACGGTACAGCGATTATCCCACAGTAGCCACACGTCCAGTTTTATTAAAAAAAGAGGCAATCATTCGCTTAGAGGCACTTTGCACGTGCGCCACTTTGGTTGGTTTCAGCTCATCTCGAAAGACCCATATATTGCTGCTTTGTTTTGGAATCGTAACTATAAATCCATGTTTCGTTACCTGTTACTAAGTCCCACACCAAATTTGACGCCCCTTCGTTGAATCTGATAAGTATGGCATTGCACCAAATGACGCGATCCGTTTTTAAGTATTTCACTCATGCCTATGCCTAAAGATACCTGAATCTCATGGTATGTCACATGCCTGTCTGTTTTGATCATATGGTGCACAGCATCGATGTTTTTGTTGTTCACAGCAGTGAACGGGCGACCATCACGATATTCGTCATTGAGATTCACACGACCGCGTTTGAATTCTGCAAACCAGCTATAAATGATTGTCTTTCATGGTGCTTCATCCCCAAAAGCAGTTTGAATCCAAGCGAAGCTCCGCTGAGCTGTTATGTTGCACTTGAAGTCGTAGAAAATCATACTACGAAAATTTTTACGAGTTAAATCCATGGTGATGTGGACAACCAATTTCTAAAATGACGCCACAATGTTAAAACAAGTGACAGTCAGATGAAACAAACTGTAATGTACAGCCAAAAAGTACCATTTTCAAATGTTGTAATTACTTTTTATATAAGTTTTATATTGTTTATGTAAGTGGCCAGTGGCCAGTTCCGGAAACTTATAGTGCGCCCTATGTATAATAAACTATAACTCTAATCTTGTAAACATTATATTTACATTTGTGTTTGATAACAACAGCAGCCTTACTTATAACAGAATTACACTTTAGCGGGGCAGTCGGGGTTTTAAGGACCAGGGTTTCGGGCTAACATGTTGCAATTATTGCATGGTGACAACAGTAAAATGTATGGTTTATAGTTGAACAAGTCCCACAAGCAAAATCGTCTCTTAGTAAACAATATCGCTCAAGTTATATCGAGTTTTAGTATCAGTAGAACTCCTTGTGAAAGAGTTCGTCCAGGGAAAAGCTGCCACTTTACAAGCAGTAATGTAACCGTTACTGAGTTCCGATTTCGAAGGGTAAGGGTGCTGGTGAAATTGCAGGCACAAGGGACAACGTATGTCTCTGGGTGTCGGGCGTAGTGGCAATGCCCCTCAGATCTTTGTGATTTAAACCTTTGAGGGGTACTAGAACTGTTAAGGACAGGCGTGTCTGTGTTTTTTTTTTGTATGTAGGTATGTTACGCGATAACTCCGGTATTTGTGAACCGATTTTGATGATTCTTTTTGTATTGGAAAGAAGGTACCTTCGTTGAAATAAATAAAAAACAGAGTAAGAAAACCATTTATAATTATTTTATTATTACATTTTAGTCTGTGCTTTATTCTACATTAAGACACTTACCGCACTGTTCAACCAGCTTTCGAGTTCCATCGTCATTGAAGTATGCCGCCTGATTTGACAACTATTATAGTCATCGTGGCATTGTCCACGAGATACTTTTTCTGGAACATATGGTAATCTTGACCGATGGTTCTTAGCTAAACGACGCTATGATATCTTAAGTTTTATTAGTCGTTCCTTGAATGTTGCCGTAACTACATATGTGTCTTGCCAACAAATGTAGGTACACACTGTGCATCACAGAACAACACAGTAACTTAGAAATGGCTAGTTAGCGTCTGACGCGTGCCAACTAGAGGTCTCGAAAGACCCATCTGAGCTCAGTCGCCATTTTTGGTTTGTATGGTATGATTGTGTATTCTCTAAAATCCTAGAAAAATGCCTTATTGTGCTGATTTGGAGCGCAAAAATGATAGCCGCACTAAAAATATTATCCGTGGTGGTATTTCATATCATCGGAAGTTTTATTTTAATACATTTTCAATTTTCTGTTCATCGAAATATTTTTTGTTTCAAGAAACGAAAGTAAACCCCTTCAGTATAGTCGCTTCTTTTTTGGAGAACTGACTTAATAACTGTAATTCGTCGTCGTTCAGCAATTAACCGCTAGATGGTAGCACATTGATTCAAATTTCAACATAATATCAAAACGTAATAACTTGAAATAATAAGTATTGATGGTATTGAACTTTCAACGATATACCAACAAAGTTTATATTATGCTAATAATAGAAAAGGTAAAGTTTATATTATATTAATAACAATCCAGAATTCGTTATTTATTTTTAAATTTGGAACTACGAGGAATCAGTATCAATATTTTGTAGTGCTTCAAATTAAGAATGCGTAATCGAGGCTTAAGGCACTTCCATTGTTTTTTTTCTTCCGTGCTGTGCCAGAACGTCGCTCACAGAACAGAATTTTAAAACAGTACTCACTTTAAAAACATAGCTCGTGGAAGCAGTGTTAATTGAATCTGGAAAATACTTAAAATGCAACACAGCTCCCTTTTGTCAAAGTAGAATCATTTCAACGTTAACAAGGAACCTCACAACTTAGGTACATTTGTCCTTCTTTAATTAAATGTTATACTCGTATCTGTGATATTTTGTCTTGTTGTATTTTGTTTTTGATAATATAAATAAAATATTTCAATTAATAAGTAGAGTATTTCAGATAATTTATGACATCATTGTTAATATCTATTATTGTTATTAATTTTAATTTTAATTCAATACTCTACAGATAAGAATGTACGTTGTATTTGTTAAAATTGCCATCAATAACAAGTCATTATAATGCCGCCTTTGAATATCTCGTAGAACACGTAATAAGCCCGTGATTTTAAAAACTGTAATTTGTACATATCGCTACATAAATGACGTAAGGTACAATTAATAATCTAACTAAAAACTGTGACAATTTGTATATCTTTACTTGTGACCACCTGCACTTGCCTTAATCAAGTAATATTAGTAATGTTACGTAGGTAAGTCTGGTCTATTAATCAAATGTCGACACACCCGTGTTGCTATCGACTTGTAAATCGTACAAGTCGATAGCAACACGGATGTTGTTTTTACACCCTCACGTTTATTTATATACCCCAAGGTCTAGGAAATCAAGGATGTCTGTTTACAAACCTGATCTAAAATTAGGGAATTTCTACTAAAAGTGTAAACGGGAAAGTAAATAAATCCAAGGGCACTAACTGGAACACTCATATTAGAACAGAAAGGTTCGTTTTCAATTGATTCGACTATTCTAGAGGCAGTAGAGCTCATTTGGAAAAGTTCGTGTAGGGCAGTACTGCCACCCTGCCGCTAAGCGGTAATGTGAGCATTACTGTGTTCCGGTTTTGAAGGGTAAGAGTGCTGGTGAAATTACAGGCACATGGGACTTGTCAACTTATGTCTTAGGGCGACGGGCGCAGTGACAGTGCAAATTGGTAGTCAAATCTTTACGATTCAAGGCTCTGAGTGGCACTGCCTGGCCTAGGCCTGTCCATAACAATTTATGAACAGGCGTGTCGCTTACCACCACTATAATTTATTGTAATTATTAACACAAAGATGGAATACTAAGAAAAATTCCTACGATCCAGTTAAATTCAAACCAGCACCCACGCACAGTATGCCGGAGGCGCCAGTTCGAATCCAGCCCGATCGAAGGAATTTTTGTTAGTATTCGAAATTTGTATGAATAAATACATAAATAGTTTAAAAAAAGTTCGTTTATCTTTGCTACATTAACTGAAACTTTGATAAAAAAAACTCAAGACCTTATCAATGACTTATGAAGGTCTTCTGATTCGTTCTCAATCACAATATTATATATATTATTTATATATATTATTTATTATTATAGAGGACAATAATACTACTGTCAGGGCAAATTAAGTACAAGATTAGATACGTCTTAATTGTATTTTGCCGTTTCGCATCACCGAATTTGTTACTACGCAACTAAAAAAGGCTAGCTGTGGACGCAAACAAACTCAGAAGCAGTAAAGTTGTTTGTACATGAGTGTTGGCACCATATCTATTTATGCTGCCAAGAAGTAATGTGAGCATTATTGCGTTCCGGTTTTGAATGATTGGTAAAAGTAAGGGCACATGAGACTTCTCAACTTTTATGTCTCAGAGTGACGGGAGATTGAAATTTTCTGAGTGGCACTGTAACTATTTT